CATATTTTATAATGACTACAGACAGTCCTCACGTTGCTCAGCAATGTGGGGCTGTAAAAATGGGCATGCAAGCTAAACTTGTGCAAATAAATCTTTATAATCAATGAGGAAATTTATGATTATTCACACATCTTTAAAAATTTTTTGTCAAAAATCTAAAACATTCTTATTTTCAGTTAAAAATTTACAGGGAAATGAAAAAAAACAAAACCAATAATTATTTAGCACACTTAAATACAAAGCATTAAAATGTTGAGAAAACTTATTAATATAAAGGACATTAAAAACTCAACATTTAAAAAAACAATTTAATTTAAAAATGGGCCAAGAGACACCTTACTGAAGATATTTTACAGACAGCAAATAAACTTATGAGAAGATATTCAGTATTACTAACCATTAGAGAAATGCAAATTAAAACCACAATGAGATCACTAAACAAAAAATCATAATGGCTAAAGTAAAAAATATGTGCTAATACCCAATGCTGGAGATGATGTTGAGAAAAAGGATTACTTATACACTACTCACAGGGATGTAAAATAGATGACACTTTGAAAACAGACTGACAAACTACTCACAGGGATGTAAAATAGATGACACTTTGAAAACAGACTGACAAACTAAACATGCATCTACCATATTATACAGCAGTGGCACTCTTGAGCATTTATTAAAAAAAAAAAGAAAGAAAAGAAACTTATGTTTACACAAAAATATGTAGAAAAATGTTTGTAGCAGCTTTACTCACAATAGCCAAATAACAAACAACATTGTCCTGCAATGAGAGAATGATTAAAGAAACACTGGTATATGCATACATACTACAGCACATTTCTCAGCAATAAAAAGAAACAAACTATAGATACACTTGATAATGAGCATGGTTCTCAACAGAATTATGCAGACTGAAAGAGTCAAACTAAAAAGTACTTACCACACACACACACACACACACACATTCCCTTTTATGTAACATTCTAGAATGATAAAATAACTGAGGAGAAATGATTAGTAGTTTCCAATAGGTACAGATAAAGAGGCAGGGAGATGTGGACAGAACTATTAAAGGTGGCCCAAGGGATCCTGGTCGTGACAAAACTGTTCAATATCTTGACCGTGGTGATGGTTACATGAATATGCAGAACTAATAAAATTGCACAGAACTTCATACATGGTGTATACATGAACACACACTCATATGCACACATACACACAGAGGAATTCACAGAAAACTGGTGAAATCTGAATAAAGTCTAATTGTATCAGTATCATTTTCCAGGTAGTGGTACCTTACATGTAAAATGTAAGAGGGTATCATTGGGGTAAACTGGATGAAAGGAGCAGAAGAGATCTATTATTTCCTAAAATTGCATGTGAATCTACCATTATCTAAAAAGTAAAAATTGAATTCAAAAATTAACAAAAGTAGTTTGAACAGCACTTACCTTCTTGTTTTCTTCATAAATCTTATATATGGAGCTAGCACGTATTTTATGCCTCCCTAAATTGTCATATTCTTATCTAAATCTGGATTAACTTCCAGCATTCTACCCTTTGCACTTTCAGTGTCATGAAATAACTCCAAGAATTCCTTTAATCTGAATATTTTGCCAGTGTCATATCTAGGACATCTTTTCCTTTTTGTCGCAACTCCTTTCCTCATTTACGATGATATGTTTACCTTCAATAAGTTTCTCTGACCACATATCTAGTCTCCTGAAGAGCTGGAAGGTTAACATTCCCATGGTCAGCAATTTCTTCTGTTAACTTCATTTAGGTTTTTGATTCAAATTTTACTTCCAGCATCACCACTTTTTGTTTCTTTGCTGCACTTTCATCGTTGCCACACAATTTTCTCTTTAAATTACCCATGTTTATAAAATAGCATGTAGGTTGACCAGAGAGACAAGGAGGAAACATAACTACACACTTGCTGTCTTCTTGAACTGAAGACAGATGAGCTGCAACCACTCAGCAACAGACTTTGAAAGAAGGAATGTGCTTTGTTGTTGATAATGATGTGCATGTGTTATTTATGTAGTGACGTGTGGGTTGAATACCGAGCAATAAGTTTTGTGTTTTATGCAGTCACTCAAAGTTAATAGATTAGAGTCACTGAAATTTGAACCATGTTGCTGGGGGACTGGTAAACAGCAGTAGACTGCCTGAACTTGTTTCATGTACTGACTAGTATATGATGCCCTACTTTCCTAGGCATTCTGCCCAAAAAAATTCTTCATCCTATTCTTTATTTTCTCCTTAGGCAGATATTAAGGGAGGCTTCGATGTATGTTCTCAACAAATGTGAACTCTCTTAACTAACTAATAGGAAAACATAAGCCTGGAAAGATATCACATAATAATCATGCTGGTATTAATAGCCATGTTAACACTGAACTCTAGTCAAAGAAAACTATCCAAATTCTGGAGTTTAAAATCGTCTCATGACTGACTATCTACTATTAATAAAGTAAGAAACAAAAAAACCTTCAGAAATAATTTATACATGGTTTGGTGAGGTTTTGGTTTTGTTTTGTTTTGTCTTATTTTAATTTTACTCTTTTTCACCCAGCAATTTCCATGCTAAAATGCTGGTTTTCACTTCTTGAACAGATACCTACTGACATTAGGATGAGCCATCTCAAAAGTGTTCTGCAGGGTAGTGAAAGAATCTTATCCCAGGATGTAAAATCTGCTAAAAACGTCCACTTAATTACTATGCTCATTGATTAAATCCAGTAAGTGCTTCAATTTCTTAGAAGGGAATTGCATTCCAAATATAAAAAGACTCATCTTGTATTCTTGTTAACTTTGCATTTAATTTCCAAATATTTCATATTTAGAATGATCTGTATTATTTCATAACATTTGCTACATACATTTTACAAAAGTAATACATACTACTCATAGAAAATAAGAAAAATGCAAAAAGCTAAAATTAAAAGCACTCATAACTATATCACCAGAGATAATCACTGTTTATTTACATTTTAACATATTTGTTTTTTCTATATATGGAAATGATTTTCCCCAAAACAAAATGAGATTCCTAGGATACTCATTCTTTTAAAGTGCATTTCTTTACATAATATATTCTGGATGTGTTATGGTTTTTATTCAATTTTCTTTTACTGCCTAACACAGGAATCAATATAAATAGCAATAAGAATGGCTAACATCATTAGAAAGAGTAGGGCAATGTGCTAACCATTTTATAAATTTTAACACATTCAATTCGTATGACAGTGTGAAAGTCCTGTTTCATATGAAATATGAATCCTAGACAGTTTAACCTGTTTAAGATCACACAGCTAATGTATGATGGAGCTCTGATTCAAGCCCAGACCATTTGCACCTGCACTGATCTTTAACCAGCATGTTATCAGTCTCTCATGGTCAACCCTTAACCATTCAAGGTCAGTCTGAATTAATTGAGTCCAAATTATAGCATATTTTAAAACACAGTTATTTCATTGGCAAATATTTAACAGAAATTAAGCACCGTAGACATTGTAATGAATTTGATGCTTTACTGGAGGGTTAAGATTATTTTTACAGAAATAAAAAGCTGTTTTTCTAAAATTCTTAAAGGTATATTGAGTTTATTATTGTACACTATTTATACATTCTCTCTTTAGTAGTGTTTACTGTCTGAATATTATGTTGCAAAGATAAAAGAGTTATCCTATACCTACATGCGGAACAATTGAGTTCAGAAAATTACACTGTGTCCAAAAGGGAAGAGTACAGGCTGAAGCTGCGTAGCCAACCATTTTACCAAAGTTTATAGAAAAGTACGTTTCTATCCATGATGCACAAATTATCTGAAATTTAAAATAGCAGAACTGACATACTTCAAATTTGATACTGTCGGTCTTGTACTTTCTCTTTCCATTCTTATCCAAAGAAAGGTTGTTTTAATGCCTTTAACAAGGGACAATCCACACATATTCATAGAGAGCCTAGTGTGTGTAGAACAGTCTCTCTTTACCAATAATAATGTGTGAGTGTGTGTGTGTGTGTGTGTTTGAACATATCATATTGTAAAATTCTACCAATGGGAGAGGAAAGAAAAGGATGTAAGTAAATTTTCTAAGAATATTTTCACTAAAGTTCCCAATTTTTCTACACATAAACATTTTTTCTACTAGAATTTCATTTAATTTGAGATTGCTGCTAAATGCAGTTTTTCTCAAACCATCCACTCTAAAGTTGTTAAGAATCAGTGAGCCAACTAAAAGGCAAATAGCTCTGGGCAAAGTAAGCAGAGAAAAATCAGTCCACACCATGTGTTTAACTGAGCCAAGTGGAGAACTGTCTAAGCCACAGGTGTTACTCATCCTGTTCAAGGTTAAGCTTTCTCCCTAGTTTTAGGGCCTCACTACGCCCCCCCTCACCAACAGTTAAACCCACTCCCTCTTGTCTCTTTAGTCTATCCCTCTTGACTGATTAGCCCCTGCATATAATCCCCTCCATCTTCACAACAATAGTCCCTCATTTCCGTCCAGATTCCAGATTCCTCTCGGTTACTTGTATTTCTCCCTGCCTCCATCCAAGCTTACTGAAGGCACAGTCAGTGGGGGTTCTTTGTTTGCACAGCAGGCTCACTTCATGCAGTCTTGCTCTTAACCCCTTTCTGTGAGTGAAACTAGTTCCACCAAGGTCACCAGTGAGTCCTTAGTTAATGAATCTATCGGGCATTTTTCCTTTCTCATCTTAGTTTATCTTTACTTAAAACAACAGCAACTTATTATTCTTCTACTTTCTTGAAACTCTTGTATTTCCTGACACTGAAGGATAATTAATAAAATGGCCACGCTTAGGCTAACAGATTGCTTATTCTTATGCTTGCTCTTAAACTGGCCAACTAACCTGACTGACCGGTTGCTGTTCTCTGTTCCAGGCCCTTTGTTAAAATGAAGCTATTAATTTTACTTGTCTCTGCTTTATTTCAGTAATCAAAAGCAATAATCATATTTGGTTTCTGAGTTGTTCTCCAGGAAGAAGGTCAGGGACTGTAACCTTACAAAATAGCCTGAATTACCAATAAGAGCACGCTTGGGCACTTACAAGATAGAGAGATCCAAAGAGTGGGACAAACACTAGCCTCTATAGAACTGGTCACCTGGAGACACCATGACACCACTCTGAGTCTTATGAGAAGAATACAATTCTGTTGATTGTTATTGATGTTTTATTGTTTAAGCTATGGCTATATAATCACCCTACCCCATCCCCTTGGGGATGTGAACCTATCCCCAACGTGGGTTCACAGTTTTGAAGGCAGTAGCCTGCTGTGAGTCCCCTTTGCCCAGCAGAGTAATAAAGCTGTCTGTTTTCTTCTATGCTCTAAGACCCTGTTTCAGTTTGGCTCGTCAGGGACGGGGGCCGATCTTTTGGCAACAACATAACTATTGCTATTTTTCCTGCTACCTCCCAGATGACCCTCCTCAATTTCCTTATGTAAATCTTTCTTCTTTCTTCACATCGGAAATTGCAATGTTTCATGGACAATCTACCACACAATCATGGCTTCAGTCATCAATTTCTGCTGTTGATGCACAAATCTCTATTTATACCTCAGATCACTTTCCAAACTAGTATGAACAATGTAAGCCTGAAAATACTTCAATTTATTCTATGTCACGAAGATTACCAGGATCAGAGCTGAAATTGTAAACCATGACTCCTGCCTCCACTTCAGCCCTATGCTTTTTCTTACGTGGTGTGTAGCTTTTCTAATTCTACAAGGGAGGAAATGCTAAATTTCAAAGAAGGAGTAGAAGGGATGTGAATTTCAGGACTTTACATAAGGGTAGGACTTCATGGTGAAGCTGAGACTCAGAAACTAAGAATGTTTAAATTTTCTAGACACAATTTAAGAATGAGATGGAGCCTGGAAATGTTAGGAGATGAAAGAGAATATAAAGATTCATACCGTATAAAGTAAGAAACTGAGTTTTTTTTCATCTTCCATTTTTTCTTTTGCTGTACTTGCCATTACAGAGTAAAACAAAGTGAGGTAGCGTCTGTCATGCTATTAAATCTGAGCTTCAAATGCATGCATCCTGTAGTTGTAACTTAGAAACTAACCAGCCATGGATCAGAGTTCACATTTTAATAGTCTCATTTGGTATCACAAAATTAAACAGCAGGAAAAAGGCAAAGACAGAGATCATGGACCTCTGATTACTGCCTTTAACAAGTTGTATAACATGATCTAAGATGTAGCCCTTTCCCTTTCAGGGCAAGAAAGGCAGGAGTAGAAAATAAGTATGGAGAGGAGGTCTGTCTTTCACCACCTATTTGGGGAGCCCCAGCATCCAGATACCATGTGTGTTAAGAATTCAGCATTTCTGGCCACTGTCACAGTACACACCATTCCCAGCCTCAGTCTATTTATATTTATAGAACAGCTAGCTCTCTGTAACCAGAAAAAGAGATCAACACCACCCAAATAATTATAAATATTCATGCTTAGATGAATGATCATGAATATTCATAATTATCATTCATAATTATAATTAAATAATTATAAATATTCAAGAGCAACTGTCTTTATTTTTCAAAATGATAGAAAAATGATACAATATTTCCATTTCAAGCACTCTACTATAATTATCCTACTATTGATCATATTATACTGGTTAATATCTTATTATGCTGGAATTACCGTTTATGTCTGTCTGTCTAACTTGACTATAAACATCTCTTTTATCACTGCATGCTTTTCTAGAAATGTAAGATCCAGCATCACATTTAGGAATATATGAAGTACTGATATACTGTAATAACAACTAGTAGTGACATTGTATAGCCATTCAATCACCTCTTTGCCATGCCTACACTCTTAAATTTCTGTGAAACACATGAATGATTACAGAGAATAAGCCCCCTTAAAGAGGTTGCGTCAATTACAATTTTGTTTCAGACCTGTACATTTTTCTCAAAATTAAATTCAAAGTATTTTTATAGTCTTTAATACTCAAATACATCAAAACAGGTTTACTTATTTGGAAGTTAAGAGTGGTAAGAGAAGCCAATGATAATCTAAGCAGTTGTAATAAAGCAGAGACAAAATTCCACTTGATCCATAATAATCACTATTTGTTTTAACAGTCCTTAGCCCTGAAGGAGAGAGGGTATTCAGATCAGAGCCTACAATCTCCAATTCCGTACAGATACTGGCAGTGGAGGGGGCTGGCAGTCCTCTCACACACCTTTCTGTGCAAGTTGACCCTACCTCTCTTTGCACCACAGCTCACGGCTTCTGTGGCCCCTGAAGAATTCAATACCTGCTACCTATTCAGAACAAACCAGCTGTGTGTAGCAGAAATGAAAACACTGCTCCAACCACAAGGAGAGGTTAGGAGAGGGGCTACACCTCCCTACGTTTCAGCCACAAGAGAAGAATGAGAAAAAGATGAAAGGGGAAAACTCGAGCACAGCTCTGGTGCATTTTCCAAAGGCTGGGAGGTTTAGTCTAACAAAAATTATTACTGGACAGTGGAATAACTCAACGATACTGGGCTATCCTCAGCAGCAGATTACCTGGAAGTGAGATGTCTTTCTCAATCTGCTGTTTCAAGGCAAATAATTATTCTGACAAATCTTGCAAATAGAACTCGTGTTCAGCTGAATGACAAAAATATCCAATGCATTATCTCAGCACATGGGTAGGAAGAAAGATAATATGAAATGAGATGCTTGTTTCAATTTTTAAATATCTGCAGGCAGCAGCTGGAAAGCAGCAATATATTTCAGTTCGGAAGAGTAGTTCCTGAAATTATAATAGACTGCTCGGGTTTTAAAGCAGAAGGAGAAAAGCTGGAAGACTGATACACATATGGATAAAAAAGTCTTTACCTATGTGATATTTATGCTCAGGGTTTTTATCACGTGTGCTAGTTAGAAAGGATGTTTGTGATGCCAACAAAATCCTACCTAGCCTTGCTTTCATTAAGATACAGACTCCCCATGGTATTGGTACTCAAATGTGGCACAGGGTTCCAACTGGAAGGCAAGCACACAACCCACTGGTTGCTCATTAATAAGCACGATTTTCAGGTACCACACGCTGATGTTTGGGCCCAGAAGTCTCCCTTTTAAAATAAGCACCTAAAGAAATTCTGATGTATGGGGTCTTTGGGTCACACTTTGAAAAGGAGCAACATGATTTCCTAGTACTCTGTACCCTCTCCATCCCTGGCAGCCCAAGAAAATAAATGATGGATAACTTAAAGCAAGTTTTAGGAAAAGTGACTTATACAACAAGAGAAAAATCATTATCTTGCTGAATGTCAGGGAGTTTTAGCAAGTAAGAAACAGTTAATTTTAGAAATGGGTTTCCATTTTCCAGTCTGATTGCCACGTGATATTATTTAACTTATTTTATGCTTGAACTTTGTGCCTCGTGGATTATTATATACACATGATCGAATATTTAAGAATCATGCATTTCAACTGCCTGCAAAAATTCTTATTTTAAATTTGCAATAGGTACTTCTACTCTATAAATTTACTAACATTTTCATTCTATTTCATTTAAAAAGAGTATTTTCTATCTTTGAGTATAATCTAATGTTACTCCCTACATAGTAGCGGAATTTAATTTTCCCTAAAGAATAAAATTTTTATAACATATAGTAGCAATCCAAAAGTGAAAATGTGTGTGTGTGTGTGTGTGTGTCTGCAGTTCAACAAAAAGTCTATAACACCTTTGTGAGTGTCTGTCAACTAGCTCAATTGA